AATGAGGCAGGAAGAGCTTTTTTATTATATTTTTTAAATTTCCATTATAAAAAAATCTAATGTAACGTTTTTTGTCACCGGTTTATTCGGATATATATATGGATGTATACATATATATATATATATATATATATATATATATATACATACATATATTTTTTTTTTCTAAATACAATAAAAGGGATTGAAAAATCATATTACAGTGCCACACGCTAAACCATACGCGCGCGTACATCTCTAGTACTATCATTATTTTTTCCATTTTATCATATCAAATGCAATCAAATTTTTTTTATTTTATTTGTTCCTCATAATAAAATCACAAAATGAAACTTGGAAAATTCCCAAAAATTCACATAAGAAGAATTCCAAAAGAATAAGTTATATAGAAAAATCGACCTTTATCAGCTTTATTCTATGAACAAATATCTATTAATAAATGCATAGGAAAACTGCAGAAGTTTTAATAGAATTGGTGCAAAAAATGAAATTTTTTGTCACTGCTGCTACGTTCAGCCCGTGTCGAAAAGTGCCTTTTCGTTTACTAGTAAACGAAAAATGGCACAGTTCGGCACTCGCTGAAAGTCAGATCACTAACAAAAAATATAGTTCGGATACACGTGCGACGGGGTGTTTTAACTCATGTGATTGGCAGCCCTCGGCTTCGCCTCGGGCCGCTAACTTCACACTCGTTACCACCCCGTCGCACTTGTATCGAAATATACTATTTCAATTGAATTTTAATAAAAATCTCATAGAATTCTTGTAGAGTTTCAAAGAAAATCAATAGAATTTTTTAGAGAAAGCGACAAATTTTGACATATAATTTTGTTTGGTAGTCCTTTATGATATTTGTTTTTTTAGTTCAAAGTTGCAGAAAAATTTCGTGCATGTATGGCGGGAAAAGAGGAAAATTTCTATTTATTTCCGTTTTTGTCAATTATGAGAATCTAGAATCTATTTTTTTTGTTAATATCCGAGTTGATTCGGTAATGTGCCTTGTTGAAAATTATTGGAAAATTATCATTAAATATATTGTGTTATGTTATGGTATCAAGAGATTTTATTTCCTCTATACGGTGGGGTGTCCTCTATCCACTACCACAAGATCAGCACTCATAATAAATGGATACAAGAATCCAAAAAACATCAAATATACACACAATCCTGATACATAATTCTTTTAGTATGCAAGTATTTTTTATTGTCAATGAATAATTGATTAAGTAATCGAATAATCGTGAATTTCAATTACTGATTGCTTATAAAATTGAAAAATTCAGGATCTCGAGTAATGGTTAATTAAAAAATCGAATAATCTCCAGCTTCGATTAATGTTTATATAAATAATCATATATTTACCGTATGTGATCCCCCCTGACCGGGTTTCCACCTTGTCGTTGGTAGGGGGGCTCAGTTGCGGGCGGGGGAAGCTTTAAAAAGGGGCTGCCACCTTCCGCGACTGCTAAGAGAACCCACCCAAATCCATGGTGTGAGTCTGGTGTACAACCAGTATATGACCTTATGGTCATATAACCGTGCTTAGGGCTGCGTGGCACAGGGGGAGCTGTGTCGTTAACGGTGCCTCTCAGAAACCGGGCGTCATGTGGGAGTAGTCTCAGGACAAGCCAAGCCCAGGCATACGGCTGTGACCGGGTGAGACAGGTCTTCCGTGTTACGCGTGGGACCAAGAATGGAAACCATTTTTAAAAAACTATTAGTTGAAGAAACTTGTCCGGGTGGGGCCAGTGATGGCGAACATCCGGAGAGGACCACTGCCGACTCTCGGACTGACTCGGTTGGGGGAAAACACAAACAAGGCAGGCTGAGCGGTGCCGCCAGGAAGAAGATGAGGAGGCAGAGGCAGCAGCAAACCTCGGGGGCATTAGCAACCTTGGTCGAAGCTGCATCTCAGGCTGAAGTGGCTGGTGATGTAGGGGCTCAGAAGAGGGCTGAAAAACGGCTTCTTCCTGAGCACACCACGCCTAGTCCGACTACCAGGCCAAGAGAGAATAAAATGAGGAAGCAGGATCAGGGCACATGTGCCCAGACAACTGCAAACTCGTTAAAGCTGGCAGCGATACCGCAGTCGTATCCGGACCAGAAGCTGGACACGGGGGGGGGGTGACAGAGGTGAAGAAGCTCCTGAAGGGGGCCATATTAGCTTTACCAGACAGAGTCAAAGCACCCACCTTCGACGGGGTCTGGGAGAGGGATGGTGCGGTTGAGGTGAACTGCACAGACAAGGCCATAGGGAGCTGGCTGAAGAGTCTTTTCCTGAGAATAAAATAGCGGGGCACACCATCCACGTTGTGGCGCTCTCGGAGCTTCCTAAGAAGCATCGAGTGGTGATACACGTAGAGGACCCAGAAATTACTTCTCAGGAAGCATTCAGTTTTTTCGAGAAGCAAAATGCAGATCTTAAGGCCAGTAAGTGGGTCGTCGTTCGGGGCAGCGAATCTAGGGACGCCAAGAGTGCCCACGTTGCTGCGCTGGTCGATGACGGGTCGCTTGTTAGACTGAACGCATGCAACTTCAGACCTCACTGTGGACTCCAAAAGGCTACCGTAAGGGAGCTGGGGAGAGACCGCAGTGAGGTAAAAGGACGGGTACGACTGAAGTATCAGAGAAATAGCTACCATATCTATGAATCGAGTACAGATCGTACAGATAAACTTGCATCACAGTAAGGCGGCTTCGGCGAAACTAGTCAAGCTTCTAGCTGGAATGCAGACAGTAATAGCATTGATCCGAGAACCTTGGATAATCAACAATGCTATTAAGGGACTGACTGGTTATGGCAAAGTATATCATGCCGATACACCAGAAAAATTGAGAACCTGCCTAATTATTAAAAGATTAGATTCTTTTCTCTGTCCACAGTTCAGCGGGGGAGACCTAACTGCGGCTCAAGTGAGGTTAAACCTAGGACAAGGCAGGGTTATGGATATAATAGTAGGGTTGGCTTACATGCCCTATGATTCAACAGAGCCACCCCCACCGGATGAAGTAAAAGAGGTGTGCAACCATGTGAAACGGAGGGGGTTTCAACTCCTGTTAGGCTGTGATGCGAACTTCCATCATGCTGCATGGGGGAGCACCGATTGCAACGGCCGGGGAGAGAGCCTCCAAGAGTTCATTATGGGGGCAAGGCTCCATATTTTAAACAGGGGCACAGAACCAACTTTCGTAGACCGTAGGCGACAGGAAGTACTAGACGTAACTCTGGCACCGGATGATGTGACTGGCTTAGTTGGAGACTGGAGGGTCTCAAAGGACCTCTCGGCTTCCGATCATAGAATCATAAGAATATCCGTTCTTTTTAAGGAAGCACCTGAGTGGAGCAGAAACCCACGGCGGACCGACTGGGGAAATTATCGGAAGAGTCTAGCACTTAGGCTGAGGATGATTTCTCTCAGATTTGGCAGTAAGAAGCAACTGGAAGAGGCCTCTAATGTCTTGCACCGAGTGATAATTGACTCATATGAGGAAAACTGTAAGTTGTTGCCCAGAAGGCGGAAGACTGAGATACCCTGGTGGTCGGAAGACGCACTTGGGGGACTCAGGAATGAAACCAGAAGGGCTTTCAACAAGGCAAAGAATGCGAGGGAAGGTCCCCGTAAGGAAGCAGCCTGGACGACTTACAGGGGACTTCTCGCAAAGCACAACAAGGCAATAAAAGTCGCCAAAGACAGGTGCTGGAGGGCTTTCATGAGCACCATTGAGAGCCAATCAGAGACTGCCAGGCTGGCATAAATCCTTGGTACAAATAAGATCACATATCTAAGGAGCCTACAAGCACCGGATGGAAGCAATATGGAGAAAATGTAGAAAACATTGAAACTCCTAATGGAAACACACTTTCCAGGATTCACCGAATCCCGAGGAGGAGATACAGAGTCAAGGCAAAGTCGAAGGGGTGAACACGAAACTCAGGACTGGTCCTTGGCTGGCAAAATTGCAAAATTGCTGGCAAAAGTGCAATCGTGAGGAGTCAAATGGGCTATAAAGAACGTTGAGCCTTACAAAGCACCGGGGCCAGATGGGATTTTCGCGGCCCTGCTACCGGAGGGGATGGAGAACATCATAGGACCCCTTACCAAAATCTTCAGGGCCAGTATAGCACTGAGACATATTCCGAGGTCATGGAACGAGACTAAGATAGTCTTCATTCCAAAGCCGGGCAAGGTTGGGTATATTAAACTAAAGGACTTCCACCCAATAAGTCTTACATCCTTCATATTGAAGACGCTGGAAGGACTGGTGGACCGATTCATAAAAACGGGGCCCCTGGTAGCGAGCCCCCTCTCTCTCTCAATATGCGTATCGAGAGGGTAGATCCACAGATACCCCCCTACACCATCTGGTGGGACTCGTGGAGGAACAATTTGCTGCTAAAGAATATCCCATAGGAGCCTTCTTCGATGTTGAGGAAGCTTTTGATAGCACCTCGAACGAAACCATAGAAGAAGCTATGAAGAAGCATGACATCCCTAGGACGATCATTGCTTGGACACAGACCATGTTAAGGGGCAGAAGACTGTCGGCTAATCATGGACAAAGCTATATAGAAGGTCTCCCAGCCAGAGGATATCCGCAGGTGGGAGTTCTCTCACCTCTGCTGTGGAATCTGGTTGTGAATGAACTTCTGGAAAGGCTGCGTGGAGCGGGGTGCCATGTCATTGGCTTTGCCGATAATGTGGCAATGGTGGTTAGAGGCCGTTTTCTGAGGGGGCTCAGAGACCTGATGGCGACGGCACTTGACATCGTTGTGAGAGCTGGTGCAGGGAAACTGACCTCTCGGGGAATGCCGCCAAGACCACAGTCCTAGTCTTCACAAAAAAATACAAGCCAGAGACGATCAGACCCTTAAAACTGAACGGCTCGGTAGTAAACTATACCAACAAAGTAAAGTATCTGTGAGTAATTCCAGATAATAAACTCAGTTGGAAGGATCATATCTATACACAGAGAAGCAAAGTATTTGCCTCGATGTGGGCATGCAGAAGAGCCATTGGGAACAACTGGGGGCTAAACCCCAGAATGATACTGTGGCTGTATCAGATGGTACTGTAACCAAAGCTAATGTATGCTGTGGTAGTCTAGTGGCCAAGGGCAGGAAGGGTGGAAACAAGGAACCTGTTGCAGGGCCTACAGGGAACATTCCTGAGGGTCGCGACGGGGGCCATGAAGACCACACCTACTGAGGCGCTAGAAATAGCACTCAGTATCCTGCCTTTGGACCTCAGAGTGATTAGCTGTGCAAGCACAACAGCCTACAGACTACGGTGTGAACAGAAATGGAAATCGACAGGCCAAGGTCATACCCAACTTGGCTTGATTAATGCAAATCCCTTCACGGAAAAGTCCGACAGTATTCAGAGAAAATATCAAATTAACAAAGCCTTCAAAACTAGAATATCATCCAGAGAGGAGTGGCTAGATTCAAAACTTAAACCAGGACCCAATGAGGATTACTGGTTTACCGATGCATCTGGCTACAATGAACGCTTTGGGGCGGCGATCTATCGATTGAAGGATGGCTGCGGGGGAAGCTTCCCCCTGGGCCAGCATGCAACAGTCTTTCAAGCCGAGGTGTTAGGCATAGCCAAGTGTGCCGAGCACCTGGTAGCAAAAGAGACGGAAGGGATGAAAATCTTCATCTGCAGCTACAGCCAGGCGGCCATAAAAGCACTGGAGAAAGCCACTACTAATTTTAAAGTGGTGTGGGAGTGTATGCAAGCACTTGCCACTTTAGGGGAGAGGAATAAAGTCACCCTAACCTGGGATCCGGGCCACCACGGAATACAGGGTAACGAAGAGGCGGACTGGCAGGCCAGAAGAGGAACGGAAGGCGTTCCTCCGGAGGGTCTAATCGGTATGCCTTTCGCAGTAGGAAAAAAGATCATAAAAGATCACCTACAGTGGGAATTCGAAAAACGCTGGCGAACTAGCACAACCTGTAGACAGGCTAAACTGTTTATGGGCAGTCAAATAGAAGGACTAGAGAACTTCTGGCGCTGAACGGGAAAAATCTGAGGGTTGCAATAGGACTTCTCACAGGCCACACTACCCTCAGGGCTCACCTGTACAACATGAAGCTAGCCGAACAGGTAGGCTGTAGGCTATGCGGGGACGGTAGAGAGGACGCCGCACATATTCTGTGCGAATGCCCCCTACTGGCTCTACGTAGATATAGGAGCTGGGGCCAGGCTCCATGGAACCAGCTGACCTAAATGAAGTGGCAGTGACCAGCCTCATTAGCCCAGCGAAAGACACAGGGCTAGGGCTGGTGGACTGACCAGCATAAGGCGGAAGTTACAAAAAATCGTATGATTTAGGTGACTCTGGGCAAGAAATTGACCGCCTGCATTACTCTAAATTCTAAATTCTAATTCTACCGGATGTGATTAAAAATTAATGTGATAAATCAAATAATTGGAATGTCAATTATTGATTAATCAATTTAATCGGTTATTGCCGACCCTGATTGCCGATTAACGAAGTAATCGACAATATTCCAATTTTATTCTTGATTACCGGAATAATCAAAAAATTTTGTCTTCAGATTATGTAATTGATGACGTAATTCATTAATCATAATCCTCGATTACGATTATGCCGATCCCTGCTCCCAGGTAGGAATTGACGAAGGAAACAGGGCTGGTCAAGCCTTGAACCAAGGCTCATCAATGCTGGATGAGGGCTGGCATCCAAGCTTGGATTAGACCTCATTGAGCCCTGAAATGATAACCTCGTTCTCAGGCTGGGTAACGAGGCTTGATCGAGGCCTGGGAAGAAGGATTAATTCAAGCCTAAAAATACCAAATATAATTGTTTTTTGAAATACCATCTCGTTATTTATGTTTATTAGTGTTATTTAACGATTGCTGATTATCCCATAACGTCTACTATCAAAAGGAATGAGAAAAAAAAATTGCATCCGCCGGGATTCGATCCTAAGTGTTTCTGATCTCTAGTCCGATGCCTTATCCACTTGGCCATTCGGACTTTGACTTTGACTTTGAAAGAGTTTATTGTCGTTAATACAATTCTGCATTGCATGTACGGTGTAGAAAAAGAATACTACTTATAATCTAGATAACCAGTGGCAGGCTTCATATCTAATATAATAGGTAGATGTTTCCTTACTGCTAGTAAACATTGGTGTGTATAATTTTAACAAGTAACAGTAATATGATAGGGAAAAGTAAATTCTAAAAAACCCTATAAGTGAGGAGTATGGACGTTAGAGGGGAAAGATAGGGGAAGGAAAGGGGAGGGGTGTGGGGCGAGGAAGATCAACGATGGGACCAACTAGATTTTTTGTGTACATTCAGAAGGTTTATAATTTTGTTTTCATCATGTGAGATGTGGGATTCGAAGTTGTTTACAATTTTGTTAATAAAAGTGTGAATAGGTTCAACATGTAGTTCTTTATGTAATTTATAGATAGGTGTTCTAGGGCTATAATTGCCAATTATTCGGAGAAATTTATTTTGAGTAGTTTGTAATTTATTAAGGTGGATGGAAGCAGCTTTATGTCAGACAGGGCAGCCATATGTGATAACTGGTCTAATTAAACTTTTATATAGAATAATTTTTAGATGAGTACTAAGGGCTGGAGCCTTCAATAAAAAGTAGAGTCTTGTCAGAATGGCTTTGACTTTAGACTTAGCAGTATCAATGTGATTTTTCCAAAGGAGTTTTTTGTCAATTAGGAGACCTAGATATTTGACTGATTGACAAGGTTTGATTTCTTTACCTCTGATATTAATATTAATATCACATTTAGATTTCTTTTTTGTGAAAATAATAGCTTCTGTTTTAGAACCATTAACATTTATTTTCCATTTATTAAGTTCATTTATTGTCAGAGAAGTTGTGTTTTCAAGTCTTATAATTGCTTTTTTAATAGAATGACTAGAAGCAAAAAGAGCTAGATCATCGGCAAAGCCGACTCAACTACATTAACGTTAAGTGGGATTCTATCGAAAGCCGAAGCAATATAGATTTGTTAAATAGTATGGGTGATAGTATGGATCCTTGAGGGATTCCTGCGATGATTTCAATTTTATCAGAAAGGGTTAAGTCTACTCTGGTTTGAATAAATCTATCAGAGATGGAAAAACAAGATTTTCAAAAGGTAAGGTGGAAGGTTTAAGTTAATTAGTTTATAAATAATCCCAGCAGGCCAGACAGAGTCAAAGGCCTTTTCACTGTCAAGCAGTAGCATGGCAGTATCTTGTTTAAAGTCTTGTTTGGTATAAGAAGTACCGGGCGTGTATTGTATTGGTTTTTCCGTTTCAACCATTAACAACTGTCTTTTTTGCATTCCAATATATCAATGAATCAAAAATTGTTTAATTCATTTTTTTAAACGAAATTTGGGAAGCCTCTCTTGTCAAAGGCTGCCATAAGCCTTGTCCAGACCTAGCTCGGTTGGTTTGACGTGAGGTCACGGTAATGCCTATTGACTAGATAATGAGACTTTTCTTCGTTGATAAAAATGAAATTGTTGACGAAGAAGATAACAATTGGTTGGAAGGTAACCTTGGTTGAACCTTGAGTGAGCCGTTCCCTATTCAGCCTCAATACTCCAAGCCTGAACTAAGCCTGAATTAAGGCTCCCCAGAAGCCCCATCTATTACCCTCATTTCAGGCTGAAGTGAACGCTAAGATCAAGCCTGCTCCAGGCTTGTGTCACTGAGCCTCGCCAAACCAAGGCTCGTACAAGCTGGTTCCTATCGCTAGCTTATCTAATTCCCACCTGGGCTCTTGATGAGGAATCACTTTAATAAAGAGATATCCACTTCTGAGTTTCAAAAGTTGTAATTTGAGAATTACTTTCGCAAAACGGTTTTTACGTGTATACCGACTCGAACGGATAGGTATCACATAATTGGAAAGTCGCCCAATATAAAAAAATTGTTGAAGTTATTTCATCGGGAAGTCGAAAATAGGGTTTACCATTCTCCGTCACTAAAGATAAGGTACCAAAAACTGTAACATCAGATGTTGTATATAAGATACCGTGTAATAATTGCGATAAGGTATACATTGGTCAAACAAAACAGTTTTTTGAATATAGGCGAAAAGGGTTTAAATCGTTTTGGATTATCTGATAAAGTGAACAATGAAAAACACAATTTTAATTTTGCTAAGTCCAGTATTTTGGGCTCTGTAAAAGGGAAAGATAAACTTCTGTATACGTGTCTTTCTTTGGGATCTGCTTGACTATTGTCATCATTAGTGTACTGACCATTCTGATTACTAATGTTGTGATTATCATATTAATTTAAATTGAAGGAACAATTTTAATCACAGACATGATGATTGGGTAGTAAAGTTTTAAATAGTCGAAGGGGAAGAGGTTCTTTTCATTTATGGATTTGTAAGTTATGAATTTCGAGAAGTAGTTTATGAGTAAAATGGACACAATAATATGTTATTTACATTGATTTAAATTTTACAGTGTAGGATGGCAGTTCAGCTTCGTTTGATGTGCTGCCAATCCTTGTTAAAAGAATTTTTTTTAGTCAATGGAAAAAAATTTTGACTATCAAATTCACTGAAAGGTCCTTGAATTATTTAATGGCTTTTAATCCATTACATGCAATAAGAAATATCAGTTTATAATAATTTTTATTTGCGTCCTTTTTTATTTATATAGATGGTAATAAAAAGATGGGTCTGAAGAGGTGTGAGATTTAACATTCGAAACGTTGGTAAACGAAAGACGAATACATTAGTAATTCAATTTTGAAGTTATAACATTGCTCAAAATCGCAATAATGGCCTGGAATAGTAGGAGAAATTGTAATGAAAAAAAAATTTTTTTTTACAGCCTCTGAGTCTCTTTTCCGGTCCCATTCGGCACTCTATCCAACCCTATGCATGCGGCTGTGGATTCTACACTATACCGCATTTGCACTCCTGTAGAACATAGAAGTAGCATGGGGAAACCACAGAAAACCCATGCCGGTACAGGCGGTTCCTCTATTAACACCCTCCCGCTCGCCGGAGCCTTCCGTTGAAACATTCGGTTCCACAGGGAATCGAACTCACAAGCTTTCGCACACCAGACTTGCGTCTAATCCACTCGGCCACCGACGTCGGTGATGAAAAAATTAAAATCGCTGATTTGAATACATTCACGAGGTCAAGTCCACGTGAATGTGGTCAAATCGTTGTGTTGGTAGTGTAAATTCTGCGAGAGGTGCAGCGACTTGCCTAGAGATTTTGTTTGTCCGGCATGACAGAGAGTGGCGACATACTTGGCCACACGTAACGATGTGAGATAAGTTTTCGAGTTCCTTTGCCTCCCAGGTGTGCAAGCGAATCAAGAAAGAGAAAAACCTGTCTCTCAAGTGGTTCTGGCACGTATGGACTGATCGTACCTAACCCCGAGATGTCGCAGCACAGTCGATCGTCCAATTCTGGAAGGCGAAGAAGCTATAGGTTTAGGTTGTTGTTGTTCTCCTGGACTATTTGTTGGAGTCCTTGATCCTCTCGCTGCGCCCGGACAAGCAGTTGGATGTCGATTGACTCAGTGATTGCCTCGACATGAGAAAGGGCATCGGCCACGGCGTTGTTGGTGCCAGCTACGTGTTTTAGATCAGTCGTAAACTGACCGATGAAGTCGATTCTCCTGCACTGCCAGGGTGTTGCCTTTTTTAGGTTCTATTGAAACGCGTATGTGAGGGCTTCAAAATCCGTGTAGACTGTGATGTACTTGAATTCGAATATATGTCGAAAATGGATCACTGCCTCGTAGATAGGTTCCTCCTCTCGGTCATAGGTGCCGTGTTGACCATCCGAGAGATTGAGTTTCTTACTAAAAAGGCCAGTGGTTGCCACCCGCCTGGAGTCTGTGTTGGAGAACAATGCCAATTGCATGATCCGATGGGTCCGTAAAACAGCCAACTCAGTGTCTACAAGACACTGTGTGTGGCGTCTGCAAGAGCTTGTTTGCATGCGGAGAAAGCAGAGTCTAGTTCTGGTGTCCATGTAACTGGGTGGCT